TTTATCTTCAACCAATGAAAAGCCAGATAGGTGTTTTGAGAATCGCTGAGATATTTGGAGCAATCCACGTTCCATTCTCAAGGTGGGTGGCCTCGAGTACGGGCACAAACTGGTTCTGTGCTTCCCTGCTCTTCGTCAAGCAGTCATCCCCCCTGTTGTGATTCCATGCCAGCCTGTGCTCCCAACAGCTGAGTCTGAGGAATCTGAGGAGGAGGTGGAGGAGGCATTCAAAGGGCCCTCAGGGGCAGAGAGAGGCTCTGATGAATTACAGGACTCACGGTTTGATGCAGAGCCTGGGCCCTCCATTCGTGTTCCTGATGAAGCTCAGCTGTATGAGGAGAATGAATCAGACTCGGAGGACTCACACCTGATGGATATGCTAATTGATGCACGCACACGTCGTCAATTAGCGAGAGTAAATCAGCAGCAGTCAATATGGCAACTCCAGGGTAAAAGGAGAAGGCAATGAGAGGCAACGCCTTGGGACTGCTGTATAAAAAGAGGAGGTGTGGGCGGTGCTGGTTGCTGAAGGCAACCGTTTACAAAATACTTCTTGGAATCCTGGTCTGTTCATCTTGCTTGTGACTACTCTTCTGTTTGCATTGTGTTTCCTGTGGACTATTTCCTTCATTTGGATTGAGTTTTGCTGTTTGTGTTTTGGACTATTTGGCAGGTTTGTTACCCATATTAAAAGGGGTTTGTTTTGTTTTAAAGTGTCCAGCCTATTTTATCAACAGGGGTTTGGTCCTTGTGCCTTTAACAAGGACGGCTATAGGCTGGGATGGAACACCCCCTTCCTATTTCCCATCACATCCCCATACACATTTATTGCCCATTTATCCCCCCCCCATGCCCCCTTCCCCCTAGCTTTTGATGGCAGGAGGCCAGTAAGGCACCAAACTGAAGATGGCAGAACTGACATCCCTGTGGCAAGAGCTTTCCATCCCTTCCCATGTCCCACACAGCCAAACTTCATGATTGGCAACCAGGAAGGTGGGTAAAAGTCATCCTCAAGGGTCTCCTCTCAGGATAAGCAACCAAGTTGCTGCATTTTAGACAAGTCTTAATTTACAGGATTTCTCCCCCCCCAAGGATGGCCCCCAAGGAAACTATATTGCATAGTCATGACCATTGTCGTGAGGGTGTGCATGACCACCATAACCAGTTCAGGGAGGATCACAGTTGTTGTACTATACCAGTGGTTCTCAACCTGTGGGTTGGGACCCCATTTGGGGTCGAACGACCATTTCACGGGGGTCGCCAAACAACCCAGTCCGCCATTTTTCCCCCCTTTTCCTTAGCTGTGCTACTCCCTTTTATTCTATTGGCTTTTGAAAGCCAATAGAATAGACTCTCTTGAATAGAGTCTAATTCTATTGGCTTTCAAAAGCCAATAGGAATTGTCCAGGCTGTCTCTGCCCTGCTGAGCCCGCCAAAAGTCCCATTCTGCAAACGGTGCTGCACCAGTTGAGTAGTCCTCGACTTACGACCGGTTGAGTACTCCTCGACTTACGACCGGTTGGGGGTCGCGGCATTAAAAAGGTTGAGAACCACTGTGCTATACTATACCTGCACATGTGCCTGCTTCCTAACATTCCAAAAAGGCCTCAGTGACAGCTAGGGGTCAAGGAGTGTGACCAAACTTTGACTCTGTTCTCTCTTGCAGAATGAAACTTCCTCCAGAACAGATTTAATCTGTCTTATTTTGTTCTTTTAAGAGCACCTCAGTTTTTTTCTGGATTGCTTTTTTGGAGTTGTACATTTCTGGATATCATCAGCATCCTGATGGTGTCCTGCTCCAAAATCCGGTATATCCTTCCTCAGTGATTTCATACAAATGTTAAAAAGCAGAGAAGGCAAGATTTGGACAATGCCCTGGGTGATGAACAGCCACTGCCCAGCACTACTTCCTGGGTACCCTTCTTTCTTGGTTCCACTGCCAAATAGCATCTTCACTATTTGGGAGCAAGCTCCATGGTATCCGAAGCAGAACATCCAGATTCAGCCATAGTTTCATTCCATACAGCATTAACCTTGTGAACTCTCAAGCTTCCTCCTTCCGTTATATATTCAAGATGGACAGTGTTTAATATTTGTTATGTATATGTAGGGGTGTAGGTCTATACATATGTTGTATATAGTATGTTTAGATGTGTATCATGCATGTGTTTCACTTTGAGAGTGGACAATTAAATTTCATTTTGAGGTGTGCCGTTGTACCCACAGTAAAAAAAATGACAATAAAGGTTATTTTATCTTATCTATCAGATCATCCACCCAAGCCACCACATTACCATATCCCACAGGAAACCTTGATTAGAATGAGTCCAGATAATCAGCTTCTACAACTGCAAGGTTAGCATTTGCTCAATTACTCAACCCCAAAATAGAATTTTCTTGACCTAGAATTACAAAGACCTTCTGAGAGTTCTCATTAGAGGTCTTATCACTGGCTCCTTAAGCAAGTGAGAATACATTCCATGTTCAAGAAATATTGATTATGGTTTAATCAGAGGGCCGGTGCCAACCATGGTCAATTTAATCATCCAGGAGGGAAAAGGTCAAGCAAACAAGGTGGTGGGGTGTCAGGATGGTGGCTGTCACTGTGACTGAGGGTGGGCCTTCCACAATTGTGGCCACCTCTTTGATCAGTCAACAAACACCCTGATCTGAAAAAGTTCCATATGAACGGGAATAACGACAGCCAAGGTTTCCTCTGTAAGAGCAGCCCTAATTGTAGTTTGAGGCTCATCTTTTTTTACTTTGCCTGCAAGAAACAATGATAATGTTCCTCCAGCTAGCCCATCTGTCATCCCTTGGAAGAGACTACGCTCTGGAATAGGAAAGAGTTGGCAACCTGATCCATGGAGACAGAACTGCAAAACTCACTGTGGCCTCCAGCATAAGGCCCCATATCCTACTTGAAAATGTCTGCATGGATTTTTATGTCTTATCATATTGTTCAAACCCAGTGCACTGGATTATCTATTTAATATATATATATGGAACGGTTGCTGGAATTGGGTATGTCTAGTTTAACAAAGAGAAGGACGAGGGGGGACATGATAGCAATGTTCCAATATCTCAGGGGCTGCCACAAAGAAGAGGGAGTCAAGCTATTGTCCAAAGCGCCTGAAGGCAGGACAAGAAGCAACGGATGGAAACTAACCAAGGAGAGAAGCAACCTAGAACTAAGGAGAAACTTCCTGAAAGTTAGAACAATTAACCAGTGGAACAACCTGCCTCCAGAAGCGGTGAATGCGTCAACACTGGAAGTTTTTAAGAAGAGACTGGACAGCCATTTGTCCGAAATGGTATAGGGTTTCCTGCCTGAGCAGGGGGTTGGACTAGATGACCTCCAAGGTCCCTTCCAACTTTTTTTATTTATTTTATTTTATGAGACTTATATACCGCTTTAAGTGCAAGCACTCTCTAAGTGGTTTACACCAGTAAGCAATGGTGGGTCCTCATTTATGATGATGATGATGATGATGATGATGATTATATGTTCATTAAATTTATAGCACCTCTTTTCTTCAGAACAACGGGGAGCTTAGATGAGAATTCCCCTTTTGGTCTTCAACTCAAGAACCCTGTGAGTAGGCTGGGATGAAAGAGGCAAATCTTCCAAAGAACTTATGTGTCCGACAGTAGATTCTGAATCCAGGTTTTACTGACCCTTCATCTCCATATCATTTTATTTCCCTTGTTAATTCAGAGTTCAGTAAACCAGAGAAAGGCTCAATTCAGAAATTCTTTTCTACCAACTGAGCTCAATAGGCCTGTATAATCTTTCCAGTTGGTTATCCACTGGCAAACCCATCCAAATCCTAAGCAATCCAGCCCTGCAGGACTTCAGTTCCAATTCTTAAAACGAGGCTCCAAGCAGTCTTCACCCCAACTTTTCAAAGCAACTGCATCCTTTCCTAGAATTGCCTTGCTGCAGACGTGTCTGTCTGTGTTATTTCTGCAGCTGGAAGCTAACCAGAATAGAGCTGGAAAGGACCTTGGAGGTCTTCTAGTCCAGCCCCCTGCTCAAGCAGGAGATCCTATACCAGTGATGGCAAACCTTTTAGAGACCGAGTGCCCAAACTGCAACCCAAAACCCACTTATGTATCGCCGGATGCCGGGTGGGTGTGGTCCACTTGGTGGGCACAGCTACAGTGGGCTTGGCAGACTGGGTGGGTGTGGCTACTGGATGGGTGTGGCTGCAGGAGTCATGGCAGATTGAGTGGGCATGGCTGGGGTGGGCATGGCTACCTTGATTTTGCTTATGGGGAGGGACACCTGTGGGAGCTGGGCAGGGTTGGGGGAGATCCAGGGGGTCTCTGGTGGGTGGGATGGTGGGCTCCCCAATGGCGGTTCCAGGCTGGCTGGCCTTAGGCCAGTGATGGCGAACTTTTAGAGACCACATGTGCTGGGGTGACAGCGCGAGCCCACAGAGAGGGCTCCGCATGCCATAGGTTCGCCACCACTGTCCTATACCCTTTCAGATAGGTGGCTGTCCAGTCTTTTCTTAAAAACCTCCAGTGAAACCTCTTTCTAGAAAGGCATCTAGAGCGTGGCCATGCTCCCCTCACACCTTTTCCCCCTCCCTCCCCTCTGCGGGGTACCCCAAAGGGGTTGCCGCCAAGCTCGACAACTGAGAGACTCTCGAAGCTGAGCCCAACCCCTCCAGTAAAAGGAGGGGGGGGGAGAACAGTTTGACCAGGCCTTCTGTTTGGTCCGGCACTAGCGCCACCGCCCCGGGATTTCCCCGGGGTCTCCCTTCCAAATCCGAACCGGCCCAGCCCAGCCCCTCTCGCCGCGCTGGGCTAAAGCCGGGCTGCAGCCCGCTCCAGGGGAGCCAGCCGCGCTCCACCAGCGGCAGCCACTGGAACTGGCCGGCTTAGACCCGCAGGGGAGCAGACGAAGGAAGCCGAGATCCGACCCCCCCCCCCCAAGAAACCTGGCTCTCCAGTTCTCACCCCCTCCACAGCCCCCCCCCCACACCGCTCACCTTGGCCGAGGGGCGACGGCGACCCCTCTCGGCGCCCGCGCACGCGGCGGCGACTGCGCGGGCGACCCTCCGGGCTTCTTCTCTGGCCGCTGCCCTCCGCGCCGTCCGGCCTCGCCGGCGAGGGCAGCGCCCGCGTGAGGAGAGGCGCCCACAGAGTCCTTCCCGGGGGACGCGGGAAATCCGCCGGGCGCTGAGTCCAGCAGCCGGATTGGCAGCCCGGCGGAGCCCCGGGATCCCTCAGCGAGGCGACAGCAGCCGCAGAAGCAGCAGCACAGGAGATGGAGACAGGAGGCGAGCCGCCTCAGGCGCTGCGCAAGCGGGCGCCGCCGCCGCCGCCGCCCCCCCTGCTATCTTCCGCTGCCATTTTAGCCCCCCCCCCCGGCCGCGGGGTGCTTGGCCGGAGGCGGGGCGGCCGCGGAGCCTCCAAGGGCGGCGGGGCAGCGCTCTCCTCTTCCTGCCGGCCGAGATGCGCCGGTCCGAGTAGGCAGGCGGGGAGGGTCCCCGCGCCAAGCGGAGGAGGCGACCGGCGGCGCTCGGACCCCGCTTCGGGCTCCCCAAGGTCACCGAGCGGCCCTCGGCGATTTCCGCCAAGCCCTCGCTCTGTGTCTGAGCAGGTGCAGAAAGCCGTCCGAGGGAGGGGCCGGGGCAAAGTGGAGGAGGGGGCTGGTGGGGGTCTCTCGCCTCCCCCTGGCCTCGCCTGTTAACTCTGACGGTGGTCTTTCCAGAGCTTTGCGCGCCCCGGAGAGTATCTAGTCCTGGTTTGTTAGACTTTGCACGACTGCTGGTTTTGGTTTTTTTTTGGTTTCAAGAAGGGAGCAGCCTTCTCGCTGGTTTGGCTCTTTCCTGATTGAGGGCTAACCTCAAAAAGATAAGCAGGGTTCGACCTGGTTAGGGCTTGGAGGGTGTGTGTGTGTGGGGGGGGGGGAACCACCAGGAACTTCCAAGATTTGCAAAATAAAATATCCTTGCAGTTTGCAGTGGCAAACCAAGTCCGCATATTTGCTGCTGAAAAAACACCTTAGAACTTGCAGTTGAGAGGCTTTACTGGCTGATGTTGGGACCTAAACACCGCAAGATCTGGTTAGTGTTTGGAGAGGAGACCACCAGGAAATCCCAGAACTCTGAACTCGATAGGGACATCAATCTCGCTCATTTTCTACTTTCTCCACAAAGATGCCACTTCCAGTATCTTTCTAATCCCTGTTTAATTACAGCATTAAACTCTAATACTAAATTAGGGCTGACAATTTGTGATTGCTTTGGTTGCGGGTTTCTGGTTCTGACCTGGCCAGTAGCAAGGGATGTTGAGTTTGCTAACTCAGCAACATCTAAGGGGCACCTTTTCCTTTCCCATCCCAAATGGTGATCAGTTTTTAGGATGCTTTATGACCCCAATGTAGAACTGGCAGAGGGCTGCAGTTAAAAGGAGAGAAAGAAAAAAGTATGTTTGCAGGCGTATCAAAATGGGAGGAATAGATGAATGTCTATTTCTAACATTAGATTTGAGAAGGGTAAAATTACCCTGCAGTGGGGAATAAAACCAGTACAGGGTTGTGCTGAGGATATAAGGCAAATGAGAAAGAAAAAGCATGAAAGCTGTCAGAATACAACAAAAGGCTGCATACAGGTAGTCCTCGACTTACCACAGTTCATTTAGTGACCAACGTTACAATGGCACAGAAAAAATGACCATTTTTCACAATTATGACCTTTGCAGCATCCCCATGATCATGTGATCAAAATTCAGATGCTTGGCAATTAGTTCATATTTATGACCGTTGCTGTGCCCCAAGGTCATGTGGTCACTTTTCGTGACCTTCTGATAAGCAAAGTCAATGGGGAATCCAGATTCACTTAACAACTGAGTTACTAACTGATCAACTGCAGTGATTCACTTAACAACTGAGGCAAGAAAGATTGTAAAATGTGGCAAAACTCACTTCACAAATGTATCACTTAACAACAGAAATTTTGGGCTCAATTGTGGTCAGAAGCCGAGGATTATCTATATTGATATTTATTAAATGATTACACCATTCAATACTTTTTTTTTTTTTTGCCTCTGCAAGTGGCTATCCATATATACCCAGGTTTCATGCTTTTTCCTTTTGGCGGTACCCAGGGTTGTGGAAAACATAGGTAAACAGCAAGAAGCTGTGAGCAAAAGAAATTAGAAATTAGGAATAGGATAGGATAGGATACCATAGAATAGAATAGAATAGAAGAGAAGAGAAGAGAAGAGAAGAGAAGAGAAGAGAAGAGAAGAGAAGAGAAGAGAAGAGAAGAGAAGAGAAGAGAAGAGAAGAGAAGAGAAGAGAAAAGAAGAGAAGAGAAGAGAATAAAGCTGGAAGGGACCTTGGAGGTCTTCTGATCCAGTCCTCTGCACAAGCAGGAGAATCTATGCCATCTCAGACAAGTGACATAGACTGATTTAATTGTATAAATCAACTCATCCTAAAGCAGTGGTTCTCAACCTGTGGGTCGGGACCCCATTTGGGGTCGAACGACCATTTCACGGGGGTCGCCAAACAACGCAGTCTGCCATTTTTTCCCCCTTTTCCTTAGCTGTGCTACTCCCTTTTTATTCTATTGGCTTTTGAAAGCCAATAGAATAGACTCTCTTGAATAGAGTCTAATTCTATTGGCTTTCAAAAGCCAATAGGAATTGTCCAGGCTGTCTCTGCCCTGCTGAATCCGCCAAAAGTCCCATTCTGCAAATAGTGCTGCACCAATTGAGTAGTCCTCGACTTACGACCGGTTGAGTAATCCTAGACTTACGACCGGTTGGGGGTCGCGGCATTAAAAAGGTTGAGAATCACTGGTCTAGTCTCTTAAAAATCTCCAGTGATGGAGTGCCCATGATTTCTGGAGGCAAGCTGTTCCATTGGTTAATTGTCCTCACGGTCAGGAAGTTTCTCCTTAATTCCAGGTTGCTTCTCTCTTTGATCAGCTTCCAACCATTGTTTCTCGTCCTTCCCTCTGGTGCTTTGGTGAATAATGTGACCCCCCTCTTTGTGGCAGCCCCTCAAATACTGGAATACTGCTATCAATGTCTCCCCTATTTCTTCTTTTCTTTAGACTCGCCAAACCCAAGTCCTGCAACCGTTCTTCGTATGTTTTAGTCTCCAGGCCTTTGATCATCTTAGTTGCTCTTCTCTGAATTTTTTCCAAACTCTCAACATCCTTTTTGTGATATGGCTGCAGTATTTCAGGTGTGGTCTTATTAGGGTTTTATAAAACGGTACTAATATTTCATGTGATCTTGATTCTATGCCTCTGTTTATACAACCCAGGATTGTATTAGCTTTTTTGGTTGTGGCTGCACACTGCTGGCTCATAGTCAAATTAGAAGAAGAAAAGTGGAAAGGAAAGGAAAGGAAGGAAAGGAAAGGAAAAGAAAGAAAAGGAAAGGAAAGGAAGAAGGGAGAAAGGAGAGGAAAGGAAGAAGGGAGAAAGGAAAGGAAAGGAAGAAGGGAGAAAGGAAGAAGGGAGAAAGGAAAGGAAAAAGGGAAAAAGGAAAGGAAAAAGGGAGAAAGGAAAGGAAAAGAAAAAAAAGGAAGAAGGGAGAAAGGAAAGGAAACCAGGTCTCACCCACAAACATATACACTACTATGTTCATAAACCTCCCCCGCTTCCTCCCATTCATATACTACACTGCTTCAGGCACGCTCTTTTCATGTTTCAGCTTTGTTTTTAGTTTTGTCTCATTTTGAGGCTCTCATTAACAATTTCCAGCCACATTCTTTCTCCTTTCCCCCCTTCCTCTCAACCCATTCCCTCTTCTTTCATGTGTTGCAGTTTGATCTTTTATTCTTTCTACATGGACAAATCACCTGAACTTCCTCTTTCATTTGAGCCACTCACTTCGGCGTTCAACCCACATGCGTTTATTAGCCAAATTCTCTTGATCCTGGGGGGCGGGGAAGAGGGTTTTGCCCAATTTCTAATGGACCTCATTCCCACTGAGTACAACTCTCTTGCTTTTCTTTCAATGCGCAAAGCTTTTATTTCCATAAATCAAAATAAAAAGACACATGCTCATCTGTTCTGAAGTAGCTATTAACATATAAAAGCAAGAGACAAGTATATTAAACCCTTTTTGATATCACCGTAGAAAGAAAAATGTACATAGCTTTTTAACTCACGGCTATGCTGAGAGACAAATATTTTATCGGATGTAACTCAGGCAATATTTACAGTTGCAACATCTGTTAACAGCATTGTTTGGACCAACAGCATTTTTAGCTTTTGAGGCATCCGAGATACTAGAACAACTGGTTAAGTCTATTGAGAAAAAACTACAATTAATTTTTAAAGGTATTTGTTATCAATGCTGGTAGTCCTCAACTTAGGACCACAATTAAGTCCAAACTTTAGGTTGCTAAGTGAAACATTTGTTAAGTGAGTTTTGTCCCATTTTATGACTTTTTTGCCACAGTTGTTAAGTGAATCGTTGCATTTTTTAAGTTAGTAATAGGTGTTAAGTCAGACATGTCAAACAAAAGGCCCGGGGGCCGGATTTGGCCCGCGAAGTGGTTTCATGTGGCCTGCGAAGCCATCCTGGAAACAGTAAGGGAATGGCCCCTGCTGCCTTGGCCCTGGCCCAGGCTGGCCGGAAGCCAATATACAATTTTGTGATGACCATCTATGCTGAAATGCATTCAGCTCCACAAGGCCGTCTAGAAACAATGAGGAACCAGCCCCTGCTGTGTCGCCCCCGCCCCCTGGGTGCATGCTGGGGAGGTGTCACTCTTTGTGAGGAATGAAGAAATGGACCATTCCTTGGCACTTGACCTGGTCCCACCCCTTTCTGCCAGAGACCCTCAGATCTGTCCCACTCCTGCCCAGGCCCCACAGGCACCCTTGACGCGAACGATGTAGAGCTGGCCATGCCCACCCAGTAGGCCACACCTACCCAGTAGGCCACACACACCCTGGCCACACACTCCTGGCCCCCCCGAGGGCAACCGCAATGCTGATGCGGCCCTCAATGAAATTGAGTTTGATACCCCTGTGTTAAGTGAATCTGGCTTCCCCATTGACTTTGCTTGTCAAAAGACTGCAAAACATGATCAAGTGATCCTGGGGCACTGTAACCATCATAAATATGAGTCACTTGGCAACCTCTGAATTTTGATCACATGACTACGAGGGTACTGCAATGGTCGTGTGAAAAATGTTCATAAGTCACTTTTTCACTGCCGTTGTAACTTTGAACAGTCACTAAATGAATTGTTGTAAGTCGAGGACTGGCTATAAATCTGATATGCAGAAGTTAAGATGAATGGAATAAAGAATTAGAGATTCCTATATTGTCTAAACATTGGGAGAATG